CATACTAGATATGATTGTGTTCTGGAGAATTTCTGAAACAAAATTAGCATTGAGTTTATGCAAGTTTTTATTGGAGATGATTTGGATTTAGAGAACTAATTCCTTTTGGTTCTAAGGACTATTTTGGAATCTAAGCAAAGAACTTTAGCCAGTATGTCAAAATTTGTATCCTAATTGTCCACATATAAGACAGGTGAAAACTTACTCTGTTTCTAGTTCACTTATGCTTAGATTGTAGTACTTCATAATTTAGGTCATCTTTGTGTTGCATCTTAGTATGGATAGTTTTGACTGTGTAAAAACTTCCATTTTCCCCTCATGCATCAATGTTTGATATACTGATCGTAAGCTTTTTTAAATATACACTAGTAACATAAAGAATTAAGTAAACAAATATAGAGTAAAATATTTTGGCCCTGAAAATCAGTGTCTTCTTAAAGGCTTTCTGAAACTCTGTTCCTATAGACTTGGAAGAACATTATTTCCTTACAAGAGATTTCCGTTCCAATCATGTGTCCCTCTTTTACTAGTTGTGAATTGCTCCTTTTCTGCTGTGATTTGATCATGAAAACTAGGAATGAATGAAGAATGAATGATCCCAAAACTTTGTTCATACTAGAGAACAGAATCACATAAACCAGAATTCCAGAAAAAGATTTCAAAGACATTTCAACATTAATTCCTGAAACCCTGGATTGGCTTTTGCAATTACGAATGAAGATAAAACTTAAGTGTAATTTTCATAGTATGATGTCAGTAATAAGGTGTGGATACTCAGCATCCAGTTGATCCCTGAAGGGCTTTTGTTCCCCAAATTTATATTATCAACCAATGGCAGTGACAGATTCTATACATCCTTAGCCACCCCCAGCAGAGATCTATGTATTGCCCTTTTCAATGTACTGTTAATTTTAACTAAGAAATACATATTAAAGAACATCTACAAACAAAATGTTTCCATTGGCTAGCTTCCATCTCCACCGCACTGTTTACTTTAACTTCACACTGATTACTTTAAAGAATCAGAACATAACTTAGTTTTCCCAGTGCTTAGGACCTATTAGTGATATGGATCACTGACTATTTCTTAACAACTTTCAGTCTGGCTTTTACATTATTTTGCTTGAGAAAAAGCCAGTAATTGTCTCATTCTACTTTTGATTATTTGTTTTAATTACATACATTTATCAATGAAGCTATGCTATAATATAAACCAATAGTCAATCAATGCATTTTTATAAAAAATGCATCTAAAATAAAAGGTAAAATCAGTAATAAAATTTTTTCATATAGGAAATTTATAAAAGTAAATTTTAAAAAAGTATATTAACCTTATCTCCAAAAAAGAATTGAGATTGTTCCAAGAAGGATATAAATGACTTACTGTTTTATTTATTTTTTCAACCCCATTTTTACTTTAAACATAAGAATGAGTTTTGGGCCAGGAAGAAAGTTTATTATAGAACTTGGTTATTTTAATGCAAAATAGATACTTTCATACAGCATAAAAAATTAAAGTTGTGGGAAATAGTTTTTCGGGAGTGTCATAAAATGTATGCATATCTCCATTAAAAGAAAGGAGATATTGAATTGTAATGGGCATGGAAATTCTTATGAATTGTGATCTATTAAATAGTCTCACAAATAAATTATGTCTCCTGACTTTAGAAGGGAAAGTATGGACTTTCTTCTAATATTGAAGATGTGGCTTCATTATTCTGAACTATGATAGGTCTCTGGAGACCTGTATTCAGATACCTATATAATGTAGGTCTGTATAATATATGTTAGTTGTTGGAAAGAATTGTTCAGCAGTAACTATTCTAAAATGAAATTATTTTTCAGTAGTTTTATCATGCATTTTATAAAAATTCAGTGATTTGTGCTCAGGAAAATTTAATTTGTTGCATGGACTTAAGGTTGTTCATACATTCACTAGGCTGACTGGAGATTGGGCAAGAGAAGAGTGAGCTGAGTTCATCAGAGCTTAGCCACCCCCAGGGCCAGTCACCTGAGGGTCCTGCTTCTGATACCACTGTACTGGTGGTATCAGATACTGGTATTCTGGTGGTATTCTGATAATACTGGTGGTATTCTGATACTGGTGGATGTTGTTGCTTGGCACTAGCCACTCTCATTGCTCCCCTGGTCCAGGGCTCCACAGGGTGTCACCATCACAGCTGTCTGGCAAATTCTGCTTTAGTTCATTCCTGTGCATCACTGGCCCCAGATCTGAAAATCCAGAGTACTTGTGTCTGGTGGTCACATGGTGTCTTGCATTTGTGCCCTATAGATATGGGGTTCTATCTTCATCAATACTCAGAGTGGAGACTTCTCCAGATTCAGTAAAGTGGTACAGATCCTAGGTGGACAAAAAATTATCAAATGTCCACTCCATGCAGGATTAGTTACATAGTTGTTGATGGACTGAAATGGAGTCACTAAAACTACTTCCTGAAGAAATTCTGTTCTTGTAGCCTATTCCAAGTGACAGTTCAGCACTTAAGTATTCAACTTGGCAGAAATGAATACTTAAACTCTTGGTTTTGTTGTAATTTTGTATTTGATATTCTTTAATTTTTTAATTCCTGATTAATGAACTAGACTTGGAAAACGTTTTGTTAATCACACAGAATTCTTCCTTGATACAGTGAATACAAACATTCCATGCTGTGTTTATTTGAAATAGGAGCAGGCATTTTCTATATTTTAGTGACATATGGTGCTAAGACTTCATCATACTTTCTTATAAAGAGCCAAGAAACTTTCTCTGCTTAAAAATGTGTGTATATAAACAATAGACTTACAATGGATGAATATTCCCATCTGTTAGGTGAACATAATTTGTGTAGAAATTCCTGTAATAGGTGGAGTACTGTGAAACTTTTTTGGTTCATTTTTTCCCCTGGTGAGGCATTAGACTAAAGAGATGGTACAAAACAGCATATGCCTAATATTCAATTTGGTATCTGTTTCTCTATTTTTGTGCATTAGTACATAGGATTACTATGGAAATTCATAAGAATTTAAAATCTATTTAGGATATTGCAAAAAAGGAAAAATAGAATGAATAACAATTATATAAATATGGTTATGTTGCAATGACAGAACTGTTCTATAGTTTTAAACTCCAATAACTTGTGTTAATTCTTTTCCAAAAAAATTTGTTGACTTTGTTCTAACCTATTCTCAAAACTCCTCCTTGTTGTAATCACAGTATATAGTAATCAAAGCTGTTCATCCTTCCAGTCTTGATTTGTAATTTAAATAAATGGCATTGACTCTTTGTGTTCAGTTTGATATTATTCTGATGATCTTCACTAATTAATTTTTTGTATGAGGTGAACCATTCTTAAGAACAGAATGAAATTTTGAAGATTAAAACTTAGCTATGTTTTTTCATAAAATATTTTATTAATCTTGCCATAGGCTCTCAAGGCATTTATCAGAAAGAAAACATACTTTGATTAATATTTGCTTAATACTGAATTATCTGTATTTTCCAAATGTTTATTCACTTAAAAATATGCTTACTAGTTCCTTGCTAAAGTTTTCTAATTGCACACACTTCAATGAAAAGATCAGCAATTGGTTGTCTATAAGTGACTTCAAAGTAAACTTAGGAACTGAGCAAATAAAGTATACCATACATTGCAATTTTTAGCTGAAATTTTTTTACTTGCAGATAACTATTACCACAACTTTTTTTTTTTTTGAAAAGGATAGCATCACTGCATTTTCTTTTTCAGACAATAAAGCTACCATTGATTGGATTTTACTCTTTTTTCTTTTTTATGATGACATCTCCCACATGTGAAAAATATCTAACATGAAGTCTTATTCTTGATTTGTTTGTGAACCAATTAATGGACTCTTTTAGGTAACATGAAAGATACGGTTTTTAGAACTGTAAAATTCACTTCAAGTGACTCTTGGTTATTCTCTTTGCTTGTGGATTTCAGCCATTTGAAGTTATCAAACTAACAGTAAGCCTAAAGTTGCATTTTTATGTAAAATGAGTCTTCTAACTACTTTTTTTCTTAAAAATTTTTACTTAAGTTCTAAGAAAAGCATTGATTTGAAGAATGACTAGTTATAGTCATGGAAATGAAAAATGCAAATGAAATGACTTTTCAATCATCCAGAAAGTTTTTTTTTTTTAAAAAGATTTATTTATTTATTTATACAAGCACTGGGTACAGTCAGAAGCGTGGGAGGGTTGAGAGAATTCACTAGGGCCAGAGTGGGGAACAGAACAGGCAGACTGACAAAAAACACTGCTGAGGGGAGCAGTGGGCGCCAGGAGAGGTCTGTGCGCCATGTGAGGCCCTTGCCAGCGGCCAGGGATCGAACCAGCGCTACCTAGGCTGCTGGCAGCATCGCAGCCCAGCACTCAACTGCTGCGCCACGAGGGGAGGCCCCCATCCAGAAAGTTTGAAAGTCAATGTGTATAAATTTTGTTCAGAGATGTCTACAACTGTGAGTCGAGAAAGTTGCATCATGATGCACTTTCTTTACCTTAATAAATGACATCTGTATCTTATCTTGAAAGCATTCTTTGAACTTTTATATAGAGTGATGTAACCCATTATGTTAAGACTGTTGCTAGTTCTAGAAACAATATTTAGATATTCTGAAAAAAATTATAAAAACATCTTATTGAAGTCTGATACATGTGTCATAAGTTTTAGCTATTTAACACCTTTTATTCATTCAACCTGTCGTGAGTGATACCTACTATATGTGTCTCACTGTGCCAAGACCAGGGGTGCAATTATGAATAAGGCAGATCTAGCTTTATGTAATACTTACAGCCTGGTTGGGGAACAGAGATTTATTATATCTCACAATAAAATTAAAGTTTCAGGTAGTGTTTTGGTCAGGGAGGGTTTCATAGTTATTAGTTAACCAAAAATAAAATATTTGTTGAACATGTAGCTAAGATGTCAGAACTATTCTCAAAATGAAACCATTGATAATTTCTTTTTGGTGTTTTTCAGGTATATTATTCCATCTTTACAGAGACATGATGCTGGTTTTTACCGCTGTGTGGTACGAAACAGAATGGGAGCACTCTTGCAAAGAAGATCGGAAGTTCAAGTTGCATGTACGTGCACGTGAAAAGATGTCCAGATACCAATAACAAAGTGTCTGTGAGGTTGTTAATCAAAATCAGTTTTAACATTGTAGGAAAGGAGATTTTTATCTTGGATTCTACTTGGAATAGAATAATTACTAAAATTGGTTGAGAGATAAGGGCCAAAGTGGTTATTCTGAGGATGATGATGAGGGTGGAGGATAATATGGTAAATAAATGTCTGTTTTTTTCAATTCAACAGATTAAGGTCCCTATAAGGCACTGTAGTTAACTGAAAAAAATAAAGAACGAGACATCCTTTGTTTTGTGAATCAATTAGTTGCTCCTAGCTTTTATTGCACGCTTATTCAAAATGTTTAAAAGTTAAACTGAACCTAATTAGATAAAATATCATCAGTTTATAATCATTTCTTGCCAATGCTGATTTGTTTAGAAATCCTTTAGCTGCAGAATAAAAAGTACATGGGTAATAAATAAATGTTCCAGATAGTATTAATTATTATTACAGTAAAGCAGGCAGACCATATTAAATAGTCTTCTCTTCACAGATTTTGGATTATAGAAGGACCAACTTCATATGGGCCAACTTCTCTCTCCTATTTCTCTTACATACTACACTAAAATTCAAGCTCCCTGCTTTTGGGTATCCTTCAGTTGTAAAAGCTTCGTTCTCCAAAATGGGTCTGCCCAGTAGAGAATTAATAAAAATAGGTCTGTCTGCTTTATTATTCTTTGAATTTACTACTAAAGTATCTCTTCATTTAAAAGAAAGCAAAAAGTATTATGAAAAATTTAATCACACATTACTATGTCCCAGTAGGTTTTAGAAAACTCTTAAAAGCTACTAAAGTGAGCTGTGTTAATCAGTGATGACAATATTTTCTCCTTTGTTATTTTCACTCCTTTAAGGTCTCTAGTTTTCAATGTTACTATATAAAATAAGATAATTTTAGTTATTCTATTCTACTATAATTACTCATGACTGAATTAGAAATCAGATGCTGATACTATATACATGTTTTTTATTAATTACTAAGAAGGCTTAAATTTTTCTGAATTGTGGTGGTTGAATCATTCCACTAAATCTGTCTGCAGAATAATTCAGAACTCAATTCAATTGAATAATTGAAAAGATAATTAATAAATTAAAAGTTCAGATCAATACCCAAATATATATTCGAATAAGTTAACAGGTTGGAATTTATTATAACATATTAAATTCTGTTTTAGAAAATTAAATTGTGTACTTTTCTTGCTAAATTATTTAAATCCTTGTTTCTGTCCTGTGTCTCTAGCTTTTAGATTGTCTTTTATCTCTCTTTTCTCCTTTGATAACAAATTTCACTTGATAAAATAACCATGAATATTTTCATTAATTTGTTTCATCTTTTACCTATAATATTAAATGCTGCTTGTAACAGAAATAATTTCTTTTGAATCAAAAAATCCTTTTATAATAGGGAATTTCTGTGGACTATTCCAACTTATATACATTCAGACAAAAATATTTAGGTCATATTTACTTTTATACATATCTATCTGTACATAACTATAATATGGACATTTTTCAAAATTTCAAATGTTACTATTTTTATAATTGATAACATATCCACATTCTAATGGCTGTGTCTTTCCCTGTGACCTTATTTTTAAAATATTGGTAACCAGAAGAACAAAGACTGGAGCAAAACTTTTCTGCCCCAAATTAAGTCAATAGTATGGAGTTTAGAAAGTCCTATGAAAACTAAATCATGGTCAGAAAATATTTCCTCCAAAATATCTGTTAAGGAAATAGTCACCCAGAAGTGAAGAGAAGACTAGACTAAGCAGAAAAGTGTCAGTTGCTTAAAAATTTGGGAACTTGAGGTTCAACTCGAGTTTCCTAAAAGCATTTTTTCTTTGAACACTGCTTCGTGTGACACTAGGATGCTTTTCAACATTTAATTTCAATATTAAGATCAGTTGCCAGCATTTCATTGTATTGTTGCAGGAACACAAAGACCATGAAGTTCTGCTGATTAATGCATTTTGAGGGTACTTGGGAGGCTCACAGCTTTGCCTCACGCTTCGCTTCTCCACTAAATATGCACTCATCAGCATTGCTGCTTGTGCTCTTTCGTCTTATTGCTTAATTATAGCAATGTTGGTGACTTTCCTATAAAATATCATTATTTTCATCTTTGACCTCCCTCTTCAAAAAGGAGGTTTCTGGAATGCTAAAAGTCTGATTTTTCTCTACAGATATGGGAAATTTCATAGCTACAGACCAGAGGAGAACAGTTTCTCAAGGCCATGCAGCTGTTCTCAACTTATTGCCTATCACCAGCTGCCCCAGACCTCAAGTGACTTGGTTCAGAGAAGGGCACAAGATTATTCCAAGCAACAGAATGTAAGTTGTCCTAAACTTTAAAATACAATTTATTAAACGTGTTGGCACCATTTACATATTAATTGTGCCAATTAAGCTTTGAAAAGAATAACTTTGTGTAGTATCCTACATAAATCCTTAATAAACAACTATTTTCAAACTAATTTGGAAATTTTTAAGCATTTTAATAGTCATAGAATATTATTCAGCATGCCGCGTGCCCTTACTTTTTGGTTTGTTTTCTCCATTCTGAATGCACATTTTGCAGTATCTTTGTCATCCCTGAGTTGTGTTTGGCTCAAAGTACTAAATTAATGAGTGCTGGTTTTCAGTTATAGAGCTGTGGGGTTTTTTTCCTATTTTATTGAGCCATGTTTGATACTACTTTCTCTGACGATAAAACAGTAATTACCACTTATTTCTCTTTATCCTTTTATCCTACCATGACAGTTTTATTTCCCTTCATCTAATTAGTGGCTCACCCATCTATTGCAGAATAGTTGCTTTGTGATTAGTTAAGCATTATTTCAAGGTGTTCTTGCCTATCCCACATTCAAGATATTTATTGAATGCCAAACAGATTTCTTCATTTGAAGTTTAAAGTAATTAAAAAGAACATTTGGCATATATTTAATAATTAGGCATTTTGCAATGTGGTTTAGAGATGATATGCCAGATATAAAGACATGAGTATTTCTGAAAAAATCATGAAGTGCAATAAGCTTAGCCTAAAAGTCAAATATTTATGCTCTCATATGATTGCAAATAGATAAAAATTAATCAGAGGAAAGAACTCTTGTTTTGTTTTGTCTTGTTTTTCCAAGAAGGCTATGTGTAAGGTCACTTGCTGAATAGGTTTCTAATGGGATTATGAAATAACCATGGGCATCTCTTGCTCCTCCTCAACCTGAGCATTCATAGGATCCTTCTCTAAGCCCAGTGTCACTGCTTTTTCCTGGCACTCCAGCTTGCTGGAACCTGGACTTTTCTGAAGCTCATTTCACAAATTTTGATTATTGGAAATGGAAAAAAGTATTAAAATACTTAAAACCCGTATTTTAAAATTCTAGAACAGTTATCAATTACATTAAAAATGGAATAACTGCTCTCCTTTCTTTATTTTCTTAAAATATGCTAAGGTATACATCTTTACATTGATTTTAGTAACTTATGCATCTTGAGTAATAGTGAAAACAAAGACTTGGGGTCAGTTTCTCATTCTCTTAGTAGACTGTTGCATGGGAAAAGGCAACCTATGATAGAATCCTGTTCAAATATTCTAGAAGGTTCTAATGTTTAGTGGAATGTGGCTGAGCAAAGTTTTGATGAATGCTGAAGAGTTGTTAGATGCAGTGGGTGGGTAAGATGGGGTGGGGGGAGCAGGAAAGCAGGTGGATTGAATTAAGCTTGCTCTCAAACACTAAAGCTTCTAATTAATGCCAATGGCAGCTCAATTTATGGTGGCAGGATTATTTTAAATGAGTACTGAATAACTATATATTGATTCATTTGTTAACTTATGGTCTTAAGCTATCTGCACTCATGAAGCAATATTTATTCAAGAACTATGAAAGGCTATAGAGTGAAATAACAATTCTTATTTTTATATTTTTTTACTTGCAAATTTGTGCTAAAGACTGTTTAATTCCTGGTGAGCTAATAATGTAAAGATGCTAGTAGGGCTTTAACTTAGTGTCACATCAAATAAATGGCCTACTTACAACCGTGAAGCTGTTGATAAATTTCCAATCTCAGTAGAATAATATGCCAGTATGCCTTGTTTTTTTTTTTTTTGAAAGAGATAAGATGGGGCTGATTATGGATATTTACACTTTTGCAAGGCCCTTTAGTTTCATATTTTCCACCTCATCATCACACCCCCATGTTTATTAAGTACCTGCTGTGCAAGAGATCATAAATCAGTAGGCACGTGGTTTGCTCCACAAATTTATACATCAAAGATACATTACTTACCACTTCTAAAAAAGTTCAGATTCAGATGGCAGATAGAAGGGCGTTTCTGCATTGACCTGGTCCGAATGGTTGGCAGACAAGAGTCAGATGACATTAGATCTCTTCTATACTTCCAAGAGGCATCGTATCTGACTCACAATGTTTCATACAAATTGAAACAGGTCAGACTTCTGCACCTCCTTTTTTTTTAATTTTAATTTTATTTTTATATTCCCCATACAATTGCAACCCCCTTATTTTTGACCCCAATCCCTCCTTTCCCCGCCCCCACCCCCCATAGAGTGTCTCTGGTTCATAGTTGTTTGTTGATATTGATTTTTACTTTCTTATAGTTATTCTTTTTCCTGGTCTCTTATTTAAGTTTTCTAGATTCCTGCTATGAGTGAGACCATCCAGTATTTTTCTTTTTCTTAACCAGATTATCTGAGGTCTGCTCCCAACACAGCACAAGAAAGGTACCTTTGTAATGGAGTAGAGGAACTTCATTTTGCCACCCTTCCCTTTATTTCATGACCTTTAAAATGTGACTTTTAGACTTATAATTTTTTTTTCATTTTCAAGGCAACAGTATGTCTAATGTCTCCCAACTTGGAAAATGAGTAGACTAAACTATTAATAATTTTAACAACAACTATTATTTATCGAGTACCTACTTTAAACATGCTTCTCTAGTCCTCCCAACTGCCTTCTGAGGCAGGTGTAATTAGCTGCCCTTAGAGCTCTCAGAACCTAAGTCAGACACGTTAAATGACCTGCCCAAGGGCACACGCTGATGAATGGCAGAACTGGAAACCAAAACTTGTCAGACTGATTCTTAAATCTTGTGCTCTTTTCTGCATCAGACTAGTTTATTTTCACTTTATTTTGCTGAACCTTCTTCGTGATTTTGATTTACTTTTTCTATACACTACTTTAGTACTTTTTCTCTTTTTTTTAGAAAACCAGCTTTCAATTTGAAATATTGTAGGCTAGCCCGGGTTTGCCATGAGCCATGGGCACACACAGACACACGCCTGCATCAGCGCTGAACATGCCTGCATATGCATTATTTATCCTTTTTGTATTGGGCCAAATGGCCCCTAACTTCATATATTTTTGACAAAGTGTAGGCAAATGTGACCTTCCAACTAAATTCAGAGTCCTGGTGGGAGAAGGAATGAAAATGATCTCTTAATAGGCATCATTAGGTGTCTTAGCAGAGGGTACACAACAACAGGAGACCTCGGGGGTGATTCTATCTGCAAAATCAGCACCTAATCACTGGCAGCCTCTTTATTCTCAAGGTGGATACTTGTTGAATGAGAAGTTAAATTGTGTAGGGAAAATAGCTGCAGGAATTCATCTTCATTCCCAGAAAAGTAACTGAAGCAACTGAAGCATGTGTCCTGGTGGTGGTGCTTGAGCCGCTTCCCATAGCAAAGTTTCCCAAATGGCAAAGTTCTTGCCTTTTTTTTTTTACCATTTTTTTTCACCAAGTACTTGCTGAGGGCATTGTCTGTGCGAGAAACTAGCCAGAGCATAGAGCAGCTAGCAAAAGAAAGTCCTTATCCTCAGGGAACCTACATCCAAGTGGAAAGAAACAGACACAAACCTGATGGATATGTCAGGTGGCCATAAATGGTGAGGAGAAAATAAAACAGGTTGATGGGATAGGGAATTCGGGGTGGGAAGTGGGGTTATTTGAGACATGGAATCAGAGGTAGGAGATGGTAACTCATTGTGATCTTGATTTGCATTTCTCCAATGAGTGATGGTAAATATTTTTTTTCATGTGCCTTGTGGCCATTTGAGTGTCTTCTTTGAGATGTATCTGTTTAACCCTTTCACCCACTTTCTGATTGGGTTATTTGTTTCGTTTTTATAGAAATTTATGAGTTCTTTGTATATCTTTGATATCAGTCCTTTGTCAGATATACTCTTGACTGACCCGTGTACCCTGTGAGTGGCACTTACCTCAATGCCCAGCTCTTTCAACATCATGCTTTCAAACTTTAACAGATGAGAGTCACATTTCCTTATACTTCAGTAGGTTCAGTTCCCTCAAATAGCTTCTAACCACTCCTAAATATTGACCATTTAAAGCATTTTTGTTTTATAATATAACCTTATCTGACCTGGTGCTATGTATGGCAGTTATATAGTACTGGAATGGCTGAATGAATGACTGAATGAACAAATGAATGAATGAAGAAATGTGAAAAGTCATGTGATATCGTAATCATATATCATGAAAACTTCCTTACCAAAATTGGGGGTAGGGGAGCACAACAAATCTCGAAAAAATGCAGCTGATGAAGGAGAAATATATTTTAGAAGGGCAAACAGTAATTTGAAAGTATTGACTATAGGTTATACTTCAAATTTTGAATAGGCAATTATGGGTTTTATTTAGCTGATAAGATGAAAAAAGACATGTTTTTTTTTTCTGATTTTCTGAATCCAAGTAGTTAGTTTGCAATCTTTGCATATCAAAGATGAATATAGCCTTGTCTTATAAATATAGTCTAGTTTGATAATAAAATTGTTCTATGTTATTTCAGTCTTGATATATTTCTTTGTTTTCTTTTATTTCTCAACATATGAAATGTGAATGTTGATGTCATGCAATATTTCTATTACCTCCAGGAGGTAATTTATGTCGGCAGTTATCAGATTAGGACGCAAAAACTTGTTCTGTACAATGCCATTCTTTTGCTTAATTGCAGGTTCTTGTGCTCAAATTGCATCCTGTAGACTACCTGACAGGAATGTGTAAGCACAAGTGTACTTGCATGTGTTTTTCTGGGAATGCAAAGTTTATAGATTAAATATTTCAAACCTCCAGTCAGCTTTGCCAGGAAAGGTCTGAATTGTGAAGTATGGGCAGTAAACAGCACCCCAGGTGACTTGGAAACAGTCTGACTCATAATTGTCCGTGCTTAAATACTCAAACATCCATTAAGTTATTACATCCTTTTCATTTCAATTGCTTCAAGAAAGATTTGTTTAAATTAGCACTTGTATTGGAAGTTGCAGTTTAATGCTTGAATGAAGTAGGTCTGGTTGTAAAAATATTTTTATGGTTAACTGGGCTTTCAAAATAACATGCTTTTAAACCTTTTATATTATATTTTATAGGCATTTTGTAAATGTTTATAGAATATGTCTGTATGTGTGAATTGAGCCATGTTTGTTGTAAGTGGAAGAGACTCAAAGATGCAGGATCTGGACATGCTTCCACCATTAACCCTGACGTTGGACAAATGTTTTACTCTCCTTGAACTCCATTTTTCTAACATCAGAAAAGAGGAAGACTTACCAGTCACCTACAAGTTCCCTTCTTGTGTTAACATTCAGTAATACTTATGAAGGGGAGCTCATGGCCATTTCTGCCTCTTCTTTCCTCTTTTTCTTCCTTATGTATTCAGTGGATATTTATTGAGCACTTATTTTGTTCCAGGCACTGTGCTAGCAGCTACGAACAGAAGTGAGGCATCAAAGGTCTTGCCATCAAGGAGTAGTGTACAAGGTACAAACAGGTTAATCATCAGATATGTTCTAAGGAGGCTGAACATCATGCTGAAAGTATAATGTGGGTATGAGAGGACTGAGCTGGAGAAGAAGGAGGGGGACCCCACTCTACTTGTGTGGTCAGGGATGACCTCCTGTTGCCACACATCCCCTGTGACTGGCGCATGTTCCAGTCTTCCAGCTTGTCTTCTAAACATTGTGCCTTCAAACGTTAACAATTGAGAGTTACGTTGCTATATCACATTGGTAGGTTCTGTTCCCTCAAGTAGTTTTTAACCTACCCTAGGTACTGACCATCTAAAACATCTTTGTTCTCTAGATATATGGGTGGTGGGTGTGATGTACTCACATACATCTGAGGCAGTGTGAGCCTAGTTCCCAAAATCATGCACAGCGTTGTAAACCAATGTTGCCTCAATTAAAAACAAACAAATACTAATTTAAAAAGACATCAGAACAGCAAAAATTATGTATGTATTTCATAACTGTAGTTGGCTATAGTGACATGCATAACAGACATACAGTACTGCATTGGCTGAGTGAGTGAATGAAGAAATGTGGAAAAAAAGTCATGTAATATTTCTAAACTTCCTCACCAAAAAGGAAAAGTTATAAGTATTACAAACCTAAAGAAAAAATGCTGTTGATGAAGGAGAAATATATTTTTGTAGATGACATGTTAAAATGCTATATTGAGTTAACTTTACATACCACCCTCAGTACAGATTTTTAAGAGTGCAGGTTGATAAATTTTAAGAGATGTGTAGTGGGTATAGTCACCACTCCTATCCAGTTCCCTCATGCTGGTATGACCCCTTCCCCTGCCCTCCTCCTGCCCAGTAATCTAATTAGCCTATTAGGTTAGACCAATTAGTTCTATTACCATAGCTATTACCATAGCTTAGTTTGCCTCTTCTAGAATTTTTTATTAATGTCATGAGAGTATGAAATCTTGTCTAACAACTTTTATTTGACATAAATTTATGAAATTTTCAAGGTAATATTTAGTGATAATAATTGCTAATATTTTTGAGTACCAGGAACTATTTGAAGTATTTTCTGGAGAATGATTCATTTGATCCTTTAGCAGCTCAGATGGAGTTGGTCCTGTTATTACCTATGCTTTTCTGATAGGGACTAAGGCAGAAGACAGGTCAAGCACTGGTTGATGTGGTGTGGTAACATACATCTGAAGAGGTGTAATCCTACACGTATGCTCCTGTCTTACCCATTCTCTAAACTCTGAAAGCCACTGATCTAATTTTAGCACTTAGGAATGGAATGGAATTATACAGTCTATAACCTTTAGGATTAGCTTTACTCACTCAGCATAATTCTCTGATTCACTCAGGCCATTGCATGTAGGGGCAATTACTTTCTTCTTATTGTGCCATATTCCATATGGCCATACCGGTTACATAACTATGCACCTGTTGAAAGACAAAATCTGCTATAAACATTCTTATACAGGTTATGGGTGAGCGTAAGTCTTTGTTTTTCTGGAATAAATGCTCAGGTGTGCAGTGACGGCCTGTAACTTAGTTGCATGTTTTTTTTTTTTTATTTTAAGAAAATGCCAAATGGTTTTTCAGAGTGCCTTTACCATTTTATAGTTCCACAAGCAGTGTATGAGTGATTCAGTTTCTCTGCTCCTTTATCAGCATTTGGCGTTATCACTATTTTTTTCTTCTAGCCATCCTGATAGGTGTGTGCTTATAAATATTGTGGGTTTTTTTTTTTATATTTTTCTTTCTTTTTTTTTTTTAGAATTATTTATTTATTTATTTATACAAGCACTGGGTACAGTCAGAAGCACGGGAGGGTGTGAGAATTCACCAGAGCCAGAGCGGGTTGCAGAGCAGGCAGAAGGACTGAAGCACACTGCTGAGGGGAGCAGCGGGCGGCAAGAGAGGTCTGCGCTATGTGGGACCCTCCTCCGGTGGCCGGGGAGCAGCCGGGGATCGAACCAGCGCTGCAGAGGCTGCGGGCAACTTCGCAACCCAGCGCTCAACCGCTGCGCCACCGGGGAAGGCCTAAATATTGTGTTTTTTAATTTGTATTTTCCAAATGGTTAATGATGTTGAACATCATTTAATGTACTGATTTTAAAAAGAACCAAGTAGGAAAAAAACCAAATTTTTTGAAGTGGAAAATACAATCATTTATTTCAAAAGTTAGTTGAATGGGTGAAAGAACAGACATGCAACTAAAATGAGAAATATTGTTCTGGTAGATCTGAGCAAAGTGCTCAGAATAAAGCCCAGAGATAAAAAGATGGAAAACACAGGAGACAGAACAAGGGCAATAGAGGATAGGATAACCAGCAGACATCTAAAAAGAGTTGCAAAGGAAAGAAGGGAGAGAGTATGGATAGATAATACTCAAAGATAATTGCTGTGTTATTTCCTAAAATGATGAATCTTCAGAGTCAAGAAGCAGAATAAGCTCCAAGTAGGATAAGTAAAAATAAGTCCAAATCTGGATATATTGTAGTGTAACTGTAGAACTTTAAAAGGAGAACTCTTAGGAGCAACCATACATGTAATTCAGTTTGCCTCAAAGGAACAGCAATTAGATGACAGTGGGCAGCAACAATAGAGAAGATAGTAATACAGAAGATAATAGAATAGTAGCTTCAAAGCTAAAGGATATAATTGTCAATGTGGAATTCCATATTCAGCCAAATTAATATCTGAAAGTGAGGAGAAACGAAGATATTTTCAGATGAGACAAGAATTTACATTTCTTAGAACTTTAGACCCACTAAGAATGAACCTGAGGGAAAAAGATACTGAATCAAGAAGGACACAGAATATTGGTCTTCATTTCATTATTTTCTTTAGGAAATGTTTGCAACTGTAATAATTCTTTGGAAATTTTTATTGAGAATGACTGATTAAACAGGATGGGTACCTGGGGTTAAGGGTTTGGTTTTTGCTTAAGGTGGGAAAACTTTATATGCTAATATTACAAGCTAATGTTTATATGCTAATGGAAATTCTCCACTACCTGAGGAGAATGTTAAACTCCAAGTGAGTGTGAGTTTACCTAGAGGAGTGAAGTCTTGGAGATGATGAGAAGCTGGTGACTTGTACACCCACATAACTAGCATGAGAACAAAGGCCCAGCTTGATGGTGGGCCACAGGCTTCATAAATAATGTGGTAGTATTTCAAGGGACAGCCTTTGATAGAAGCAAGGGCAGCTTTTGCTGTGACAGAATAAAAGTAACAACTTGGGTTTGGAAGCATATTATTCAGCAGATATGCTTGTGAAAAATGGAGGGATTTCTTGTGGATTTTTATTTTCTCTGTGAATATTGGGATGAGGTTTTCCATTTAAAATGAAGTGTGGCAAAAGGAGAAAAGTGAAGTCATTAAATAATCATCCAGAGAGTAAGAGCAAATTAAGCAGCAGGTCTATGATGCCATTTGAGTGCAAGTGCACGGTTGCAGTGTGTGGTGATGGATTTCTGCAGCAGAGTTGAGAGGTTCTGGTGTAATTGCCCAGGAGGTTAAAGTTTAGCCTGACGGTCAAATGGATGAGAAACAAGGATGTCAAGCGTGTTTGCCAGACAGAGATAACTCTAGGTCGTTTCTGAGTTGGATAGGGAGAAGTGATAGAATTCAAGATGCCATGTTAGGAGACACAGAAAATTGAAATAGAATTATTTAGTGGGGATGAGAGAAAGTATTCGTATTAGGGCCCAGACCCCTCTCTTCTTCACCTTGGCTGCTCCCTCCATCACTAGACCTGATCTTAAGTGATCAGGTGATTCAGGCTAGAAAGATGACCAAATTTCTGTGGGGTGAACTTAAGATAATGGGATTTTGAAGTTTCCAGATAATGGAGCAGCAGATAAATTTCTCACAGTACCCCAGATGAACTGTACCCCAACATGTAGCTTTCTGCAGCTACTCTAAAGTCATCCTGTGGGTCAAGCACAGCTATAAAACTGTGGCCAGCTTGGTCCTGCTGCCCTTCTCATCTGCCTTCCTTCCTGCTGATCAGGAAAGTATCACATAGAAGCTGTTGCAGGGGCTCTATTTCCCAGGACAGCTGGACCAAGATGTTGGGTATTTTGAGATCTAGAATTCAGAATGGAACTTTTAGAGGAGTTGGTGGGATTTAGGGAAGACCATGAGAGTCAATGAAGAGGAAAATGTCTGTGGTATAGGAAAGAGGGTTGAACCACAAGGCCACAGAGTTAGACTTAAGAGTGTCCATGGGCTTGGATGTTAAACCACCTGGGATGATGAGTTGGGGAGTCAAGTAAGATGGGGACCAAAGAGATTCCTTCTCTAGTAAGAAGGGAGAGCCATCAGCACCTACAAGGGGATACATGGACACTAAATGGTAGTAAAGCTTGATTGCATGGGTTTCAAAAGTGCTGGGATTTGGAAGGAGAAAGAGGAGAAATAGTTTGATGGTTGCCTGCAGATGGTTTCAGTGGTGCTTGCTTTGAGTAGACTAGGCAAAGGTCACCTAGAATTATTCTTTTATTTATTTTTTTAAAGATTTATTTATTATACAAGCACTGGGGTATAGGCCAGCGGTGCGGAAGGGTGAGAGAATTCATCAGAGACAGAGCAGGGAACAGAAAAGGCAGAAGGACAGAAGTACACTGCTGAGGGGAGCAGCGGGCAAGACAGGTGAGGTCTGCCTCGCCATGTGGTTATCTCCCTGGCCGGCCGGGAATCGAACCGGTGCTGCAGAGGCTGTGGACAGCCTCACAGCGCTGCGCTCAACCTGCTATGCCACCAGGGAGGCCCTAGAATTATTCTTTTGGGCATTTGATGTTGGGTCCCAACGTCTAGTGGTTTGGAATCCCACTGCTATAGACTAAATATTTCACCACTCCCCCGCCTCTATATAGTGAAACCTAATGCCCAAGGTGGAGCCTTTGGGAAGTGCTTAGATCATGAAGGAAGCTTAGGACAAGAGGGTAGAAGTTTTCACAATGGGATTAGTACCCTTATAAAAGAGACCCCAGACAACCCTCTCACCTTTTTCCTATCATGTGAGGACATAGTGCGAAGATGTCCTTGTGTGAACCAGGGAGAGGAACCTGCTCAGACACTGAATCTGCCAGCACCTTGATCTTGGACTTCCCAGCCTTTATAATTGTTCAAAATAATTGCTTGTTGGTAAGTGGCCTATTTTATGGTATTTTGTTATAGTAGCCTGAACAAACTAAGACACCCAGACCAGAGTTACTTATCTTAGGGAGGTCAGAAACTTGGGCTTTGTGTATGAGGCAGAGAGAATGATCTCTTCCTCCTGGAGTTGTTCTAAGATATAACAAGACATGAATGACAAATAATTTACCAACTCTCAGTGAGGAAGTGGAGACAGTTCATTCTTTATGGCAACCCCTCATGCTCCCCCAAAAAGTATATCGTGATGGTAACATTAAAAATATTCTGTATAGATGAGGCTGTGTGTGTCTGTACATGTCGATGTTTTATAAGACTTAGAGACAGCTGGGGGCAGGGAGAAGGGATAGAGAATATACTGGAGCCCAGGGATACCTTAGCTCCTAAAAGATGCCCTCAAGCTTTTCCAAGTGCTGATCTAAAGCCTAGAAAGGTCCTGTTGTTGTTCCAACCATATCCAGGAGCAGTCCCATTATCTGAGCTGATATTACCCTGGGACAAATTATTGTCCATAAAAGTAGGGAAGAAAAAGCATGAAGGTATTACATTGCTCCATTGTGTCTGCGTCACTTAATGACAGGAATATTTTCTGAGAGAAGCACTGTTAGGCAGTTTCATCAGTGTGTGAGTCAAAGAGCATAATTACAGGGCCTCAGTGGTATAGTCTACTACACACCTAGGCTCTGGGACCACCATCATATATGTGGCCTGCCACTGACTGAGCTGTCATGTAGTACATGACTATACAGAATGCTGACAGAGGCTCCACCTTGCTGTGCTTTGTACCAGAACCTCACTGCATAGTGAAAAGAGGACTAAGGTTGTTGTAAGAATTACATATTTTCTTTTAGAAAGTTGGGCAGTATTGGATGGAGGGTTACCTATATATTTTTAGATTGAGTTATCAACTGTAGCTAGCAGTAGCTTGATGTTGAAGTTTGAGGTCTGCATCATGCAATGAAGGTCACTGAAGTGTCTTCACTTTGGGAATGTTTGTTAGTGGTACAGGCAGCTGACCTGGAGCCTACTGCTTTGGCATAAAATTTTATCACAGCTGGAAGCCATTAGACTGAATAGCCCAAGGGTGGGGATCTCTGAATGATTCAGTTCCATTTGAGTTGGCAATGTAGTGTTTAACGTTAATGACAAGAATTTAATATTCTATGTATCAATTTTTCATTTGAAAATAAAATACCACTTCAATTTACATGAACAGATCTAGTGACAATAATGCATTTCTTTATAAATATTAGCCTATTATACATCTTAAGTCAG